GCTGCAGGGCAAGGGTTGTGGCTCTGGAAATTCCAGAATCTTCTGGATTTCCTCTGAATTGTTCTCGCCAGAGATAGGACAACAGATAGTATTCTTGCTCTGAATCTAAATCTCCTAAAAAGATGAAAAGGAAAAGAAAAGGTAGAGTCTTTCCCTCAAATCTGTGTAAATACACACTGGGAGGCTTCCAGGTAGTATAACTAAGAATCACACCATGTAAATATTTTCTACTTTCTGAACAATGAATGCTTGACATGCCTACAGAAAAAAATGTGTTCCCATCTTTCCAAAGGCCAAAGGCAATGGGCTTGTTGAATTTGAGAATCTAGACCAAAAAGGCATTGAAACACATGGATGAGGATGACTGGACAGCCAGGAGGTCCCCTCACAGCAATGCTGGCTCTTGGCCAAAACATCTTACCTGTCCTCCATCCTCACGAGTCTCCCCATGAAGACCCAGATTCACAGAGGGCGCTCTGATCCCAGGGCCACTGCAGCCACAGAAGCTCTCAATGTCCCCCAATAAAACAGGGTTGTGGGAACTCCTGTCTGTCTGTAGAAGATCCATAGAGTAAAATATTGTAACTTTTATAAGTGGGAGAGGACAGAGAGGAAAGCTCACCCCAGGTGGCTGGGGTCAGCAAGGGCTTCCATTTTAGAGCCCTCCTCATCCTCAGAAGCAGGTTTCCAAATCATCAGTTGAGGTATTTTATCCGAAGTCTATTTATTTTGGCTGCAGGAGAGTGTCAGTCAGTCTCTGGGTTACTGTTTATCAACACCCTTCACTTGTTCTGGCCTGAAAAGTGAATTCGTCAGTGTGTTAGGCTGAGTTCTCTAGAGAAGCAAAACCAGTGAAGCCTATATATATAAATATATATATAGAGAGAGATTTATTTCAAGGAAATTGCTCGCACGGTTATGGAAGCTGTCAAGTCCAAAATCTGAGGGTTAGGCTCCAGGTTGGCAGCTTCTCCTGACTCACACGGTTGCAGGAGCTGATGAACCCAAAATCGGCAGGTCAGATGGCAGGCTGCGGGCTTGCAGGGCTGCAGGAGGTGGCAATTCCCAAAATCTGTACGTCAGGTGGCAGGCGGCTGGCTCACATCCCAGGAACCAGAGGTCAGATGATGACAGCCGGATGCAGGATTGAGAGAGAGAGCTTTGCCAAAACATTCATATATATCGGATGCAGCCCACACCTCTAAGGAAACTCCCCTTACGTCAGATCACAAAATGGAGGATAATTACATAATACTGAGAATCATGGCCTAGTGAAGCTGCTACATAACATTAACCATCAAAATTGGTTTTCAACTTCAGAGAGTCAGTAAGTTGCCAGCTGGGGCAAGCAAGCATCAGGTTGTCACTGCTCTGTCCCAGCCTTGAAGCACTTCTTTTCACAAGAGATGTACTAAGGTGGGTCTAGTCACCTAAGTGCGAATATTGCCTGTATGTCTGTCTAATCCTTTAAGAAGGAGGAAGAGCATATGCAGGTAGAGTTTCTGTTAGGCCTAGATTTCCTATACCTGTAAGTACTCTTCTGTATATATGCCTTCATCCACCACTGTTGCCACAGACATTTGATTTGTACACAGTCCTCCAACTTTAAGTTTTTTCCCCCCTACTTAAGATACCAGTAGAACTTTATTTTCCCTCTTTCATGGAATTTAAATATTTTTCCTTTGTACTGTAGTAATTTGTATGCTTTTCTCATTTCGGTTGTTAACTCTTTGAAAGCCAGAAACTATAAAAACTTAATTTAACAACATACACACTAAATTTTTTATTTTATGAAAACACTGAAAGCTTTCATAAAATTGGTGAATGAATTATAAGATAGTTTTGTAGAACTATCAAGGACCGCCCTCTCCTCATCACTATTTGAGACTCAAGCAGATGGTGGTCCACAGGTTTATCTGTAATATGCACTTTACATTCTTGGCTTTTATTAAACAGTATTGCTGTAATGGAGTCCTTGGGTGGTGCAAACAGTTAAAGCGCTCAGCTGCTAACCAAAAAGTTGGAGGTTCAAGTCCACCCAGAGGTGCCTTGGAAGAAAGGCCTGGCAATCGACTTCTGAAATATCAGACATTGAAAAGCCTATAGAGCACAGTTCTATTCTGACACACATGGGATCACCATGAGAGGGCAGCTGGTTTGTTGCTGTCACATTTGTTTTGAGCTTTATAAGTTTGTTGCATTTTAGATTCTGTTGTGTTTGTACAGTGTTATTGTACAGAAAAGAGTTAACATAGCAAATCTGAGACTGCTATCCTTTGGAAGTCCCGCTTACAAAGTTAGTTCTTGACTAGCATCTAGGAACTTGGATTTTGAGAGGATGCCCACCATTCCCAGAACTGACAGGAGTGGCTCACTGTGCCTAAACTATTTTACAAACAATATAATTTATGCCAAACACCCACATTCCTTCTAGGAGCTAGGCAGAGGGTGCCTATGTGACCAGCCTTCAATGAATACCTTGGACTCTGTCTCTAATAAGATGCTCTGCTAGACAACATTTCACACAATTCCTTGCTGGAGGAATTAAGCTTGTCCTGGGTGACTCCACTAGGAGAGGACTCTTGGAAGCTTCAGCCTGGTTTCCTCCAGACTTCACTCCACACACCTTTTCCCTTTGCTGATTTTGCCATGTATCCTTTCCCTGTAATAAGCCATACATGAGTACAACTCTGTGCTGAATCCTGTGAGTACTCCTAGCAAATCACTGAAACTGGTAGTTCTCTTGGGGACCTCTGACACAGATATCTAGAAAGATAGTTGTACTAATGAGACTCTAAGATTGGAATAAAAATTGGATGCAAAAAAATGTAATGATTCCTTTCATATGTCAGTTGGTCCCCTTTTCTACAGGATTCAAATTTCATTGACCATTTCTGTTTCTAACTCCTCAGTAAGTGGAAACTGCAACTGGGAACAATTCTGAAAATGAGTCTCAAAATCTCCCAGTTGGATTTATTTATCTTTATATGATAATATTGTATTTTGAATATTGTTTTTCAAAAAAGCTTTTTTATCATATTTTTTTTCCAAGGTGGAAAGCACCTTAGAATTTCTAGAACCCTAGATGGGATTTTTAACAGGTACAGACTGTGGTACAAACCCCAGTTACTGGGAAATAACAAGCAGGTGCAAAGTGTCCTGTGTGGGATACAGCAAGCATCTGGGTTACCTGGAGAACAAGCTTATGTACATACAGAGAAACAATGGGGGCAAAGGTTGGAAAATTAAGGTGAGGTCAAAGGTCTCAAATGCCCAGCTGGGGAATTTAAACCTAATTTGGTAAGTCATGAGGTGCCACTGGTTGGTGCAAATGGTTAAGCACTGGACTACCAGCAGAAAGGTTGGAGGTTTGAAACCAGCCAGATCCACAGAAGACAGGCCTGGTGATCTGCTTTCAAAAGGTCACAGCCTTGAAAACCCTATGGAATGCAGTCCTACTCTGCACACATGGGGTCGCCATGAGTGGTAATGAACTGCACACTGGGGCGGATTAACCAGTAAGCAAGGTATGCAAGGGCTTACTTGTGTTTACTTACCAATCTGTAGTGCACAATTTCACATGGTTTCACTACATCTTTGACACCGTGAAAAACAGGTGAAATTGTGCACTACAGATTAGTAAGTAAGCACAAGTAAACCTGTGAGTACCTTGCTTACTGAGTAATCTGTCCCTGAGTCCACACAACTAACAACAACAAAGAGGTAACAACAACGTGCCACTGAGGTCAGGTGACCAGCAGAATAACAAGTTCACAATTGTACTTTCAGACTATGAATCTGGGGACAGCCCCAGCTAACCACAAAACATGTGACTGAGGCCATCTTGGACCTCCCAGCAGAGCAGTCACATTAGTGAGGCCAGGCAAGATGAGCCAAAAGACCTGCCCAGTCAACACACAGAAGCCATAAAAGGGAGAAGTAATAAATCACTGCTGTTTGATTGGAGTCCTGGTGTTGCCGTGGTTATGAGTTCGGCTAACCAAAAGGTCGGCAGTTTGTATCCACCAGCTGCTCCTTGGAAACCCTATGGGGCAGTTCTGCTCTGTCCTACAGGGTCACTATGAGTCAGAATCGACCCCACGGCAACAGGTTTGGTTTTTGGCTGTTTGGTTTTTTATGTTGCAATAGATAACTGATAATACATTGTTTCAAGGTTTTGGGCTGGTCTAAATCATCTCCAATCTAAAAATCAAGGAATGTTTCCCAGATTACCATCTGCCCTTTGCTTTGCAGGCACGAGAAAGGCTAGGGCGCCCCCTCCGTTGACACCCAAAGCTGCCGCGCTGTTGATGTACTTGGGACATGCAGGATATCACATAATCACTGCACAGGCTTTAAGAAAAGGAGCTTAAAGACTGATCCAATTCCCCAGGATACTAACATCCAGAGGAGTGATTTGCCCAGGGTCACGCAGAAAGGAGTTGAATAGGATAATACATGTTAAACGACTTGAACAGTGCCTGGCGCACAGCGCTATCTATACAAGCGTTGGTTGAGCAAGTGCTCTGACCAGGTGTTCTAGCTCAGGCGCTTAGCATCGCACACGAGCTCTAGATTATACAAACCTCTCTGATTGTCTGCCAGATTTAAGGTTTTTACTTGTGCAATGAATGTTCCTTAACCGTGAATCCGGTTTTATTTTATATTCTGAGATTTGGCCTCTTGGTGTCCTTTTAGCTTTAAAAAGGAAACACCTGTATGCAAATTATATTTTGGGGTTCAGTACGTCCCCCCTCCCGTACAACGACTCCGTGTGAGTAAACACTTTTTCCATTTGTAGAGAAAGCAAATAGATTTGGTTTTGTTTTTTACGCGAAATATCCCTGGAACCCTCTCAGAGGGCAGAGACCACCACGATGCTGCAAAACCTGGAACTACGCCGCTGCCCACTCAGGGAAGCGCTGCGCGTCCTACGGCAGACGCCACTGCGCATGCTTCCCCGCCACTGACGTCAGGCCGGGGCCACGCCCCCCGACGCCATGTTGGCCTCCCGCGCTGCGGGTCTCTCCCGTGGGTTGGGGACTGTGACGCAGGCTTGGCTGCGGGTCCCGCGCGGCTGCTCCCCGGCCCTGGTACGCGAAGCTGGCGCGCCTCCCACAGGGGACTGGCGGCCCTCAGCCCGGCCGGGGCCACGCGGGCGCCCGCTCAGCCTGTCGGCAGCGGCGGTAGTGGACTCGGCGCCCCGCCCTCTCCAGCCCTACTTGCGCCTTATGCGGTTGGACAAGCCCATTGGTGAGTGAGTGCGGGCGGGCGCGCGGTGCGGGCGGCCAGGGCCAGCGGGCCGCAGCCCCGGAGCTGGCAGCGCGGAGCTGCCGGAGATGGCCGGCCCCTATGTGGTAGAAATCAAGAGAGCCTAAAAGTCCGGGCTCGGATACTCTGGGGTGCGTCACCTCTGGACACCGGGGACAGGACGATCTCCGTGGGGACCCTCCAGCTCTCACGCCCCTGTGAATGCAGCGTCTCCGAGGCGGGGAGGAAATTCACCCATTCCTCAAATACTTGTTTAAATGGTGAATCGAGCGAAACTTTCCGTTCTCTTTACTCGCAGAGATTTACAGTGTTTAAGCACTTCCACATTCTTGATAATGTTTGACCCCCAAGGGTCAAATGTAAGACCCCCAAGGCAAATAAGATGACCTGGAAACTAAGGCTCCTCGGCAGAGCCAGACCAAAAGAACCCAGTGTTTTGATGCTGAGTCCAAACTCTATTACCTACACCACTCTAACGCAAAGATTTAATTCATTGGAACGTATCAGGTACAATGCTTATGGACTGCCTCTCAGCTCGCTGTCGCCTCCTAAGGGAGGATTTCTAAAGCAACACATACCACCGCAGTCTCCCGTCACTCCATTTTTCTTCAGCGTACTTAGCGTAGCTAACCTTACACATTTATTAGTTGACTGACACCTCCAATACAATGCAGGCTCCAGGTCGATGGGACTTTAAAAAAAACAATCTTCATGCCTAGAACAGTGCCTGGCATTAGTATTGAATGTATTCATAAATTCTTGTTATTGTTGTTGCAGTTGAGTCCAACTCAAGGAGACCCCGTGTACGCAGAATAGAACTGCTGCATAGGATTTTCAAGGCTGTGACCTTTTAGAAGTAGATCCCCAGGCTTGCCTTTTAAGGCCTGTCTGGGTGGGTTCAAACCGCCAACTTTTCAGCTCCTAGTCAGTGCTTTACTCTTAATGCTGTCCAGGGACTCCAATAAATGCCTATCACATTGCTTAGCCTTGGGGATGGAAAGAGCTAGGGAAACTTCTTGCTTTCAAAGAACTCCCTGTCTAGTTGGCAAAAGACAATTTGGCGAGCTAGGAACGTATGGAATCAAATATGAGAGGTACAGATTAAGCACTGCAGGAGAAAGAAATTACTGTTGATCCCCATTGCTGGGAAAAGTTTCAAGAAAAAATTGTACTCCAGAGGCTGAGTAGAGAAGGGAAGAGATCTTCCTGGTGAGGGAAGTATGTTTGCAAATACCCAAGGGTGGTATGGTGGGACACTTAAGAATATGAGCCTGGTCTGAAACACCAGGTGGGTGTAGAAAATACTGGGAGACTGGGCTGGATAAGGAGGCCTGGTGGTATAGTGATTAAGAGCTCAGCTGCTAGTCAGAAGGTCAGCAGTTCAAATATACTGGCGGCTCCTTGGAAACCCTATGGGGCAGTTCTACTCTGTCCTGTCAGAATCCACTCCATGGCAACCAGTTTAGGCTGGATAAGAGCTATACTGAAGAAGAATGGACGGTGGGGAGGAAGGGGTCAAATCTGAACTCCAGCTAATCTAGGTAATTACATTTGACGTTGCTGTGCATGGAAATACATTCAGACATCTAAATACATTCACTCTGTTTTTGCCCAACCAAGACCCCAGATTAGTCTTATTTTTGGTATTTTAGGTTCATGCACTACCTGTTTGGGATTAGAGCACTAAGAGTTACAACAATTGCCATTTAAAATGTTAAAGCAAATTAATTGATAGGCACAGCTCTGCCATCATTGGAACCAGATACAGTTTGGTGGGCATAAGTTTCCATGCCATTTCTAATCTGAAATCTGGCTGTAATTCTGTTCTTGGAGTCTTCATCAAAAAGCTGCAATGTAGGTTTACAGGAATTCAAAACAGATCAACAGCTATCGTTATTTCTAGTTCCACAATTAAACCTCTGGCTTCTGCCGTAGAGACTAGGCCACCCCACCACACAACCCATAAACCCATTGCCGTCGAGTTAATTCTGACTCATGGTGACCTCCTGTGTTACAGAGTAGAACTGCTCCATATGGTTTTCTTGGCTGTAATCTTTATGGAAGCAGATCACCAGGCCTTTCTTCCATGGTACCATTGGGTGGGCTTGAACCACCAACCTTTAGGTTGGTAATCGGGTGCAGACCTCACCACATAACAAAAGGCTACAAAGGAGTTATGAATAGAACTGAAGCCAGACCCCTTGGGCTTGAATCTTCATTACCCACTTGAAGGACATTGGTTAAGTTACCTCAGCTCTCTGGGCCTTTATTTCTCATCTGTAAAGTGAAGATACTAATAATACTGATTTCTTAGGGTTGTCATAAAAATTCATTAATATATGTGAAGTGCTTAGAACAGTACTTGGCATAGAATACATTTTCAAAAATGTTAGCCGTTATTAATTCAGAAGTGAGGCTTGGAGAAAATTGTGTTAATAGTTATGTATGTTAAGAAGATACCAGCCTGCATTATTTGATATTAAATAAGGTGATAATTGCAGGATTTTCAAACAACTTATTAATGGTCCTATGTTACAATTCATTCAGCAAGCATTTTTTAAGCCCCTACCATACGCCAGCAACAATAAATCGACAGTAGTAGAATTCGAGGTTTGATATTTCTTTATTTAATTTCTTTTTTTGTAGGTAATTTTATGTTCATTGTTTTATGTTCATTGAAGTTGGATTTTGTTACTACCTTCATAAACCAAAGTAGGTTTCATTGTTGTTTCAAATGGATCTGACGACCTGTGTTATTTCAGGAAGTTTCAGCAGGTGGCAACCTTTCCACTACATTGGCAGTGTAATTTTTGTTTCACTGTATTTATAGATGATTGTGTTGTCCTTTCTGACGTGGTCTATGAACATATTAACATTCGAATGTATGTATTTGTAACATAGAACAAAAAAAAACCAAACTTGTTACCGTCGAGTCGATTCCGGCTCATAGTGACCTTTTAGTAACGTATACATATACGTGTAAATTCTCAACACAAATGGTAGCTACCGTACAGGCTATTTTATAATTTGCTTTTTTCATTTAACAGTGTATCTTGTAGATCACTCCATATCAGTACATGTACATAAAGAGTTGCCTGATATTTTAATGGCTACGTTATAACCTCCTACATTGATAACCATAATTTAGTTAATCATCCCTATTGTGCATTTAGAATGTTTCCAATCATTTGCTAGTAAAAATGGCATATATATGCATATATTATTATTGTTATTAAGTAAATTCAAAGAGAAGAATTGCTGAGTTAACAAGTATGCGCGTATGTAATTTGGGTAAAAATTTTCAAATTGTCCTCCATAAGAGTTGGACCATTTTGCAATGCCATCAGAAATACATGAGAGTGCTCAAATCCCTAGGGTGTGTCATCAGACCTTAGGGTTTTGCCAATCTAATAGGTAAAAAATATTGTTTCAGTGTAGTTTTAATGTATATTTCTCAAAGTTATACCTTTTATATATAAGAGCTACTTGTATTTTGTTTTCTGCAAGCTTTCTATGTATGTTTTTTGTTTTTTATTGGTTTATTATCATGTCAGTTTCTAGGAGCTCTTTACTTATTAGGAAGAATAGCCCTTTGTGATATGAGTTGCAGATTTATTTTCTCAGTTTGTCGTGTGTTTTTTTTTTTTTTTTTAAATTACACAATAGTTTTATTCTTTTCATATCACTGCTTTCAAACAAGCTATCCCAAAATACTCTCCCTTGCACTTAGCTGAAACCTTCTCAAGAATCCTTAGTTCTCTCTTGTGTTATAGACTGGAAGTGGGTGATGAGCTAGTGATAGAGAAATTGACTTGAGTCCTTCTCTGAACGTAGCTGCGTCTTCTACTTTCAGCTTCAGGACCCAGCTGGAGTCCAGAGGAATCCTTTTTCAACCTGTTAACAGAACAGTACGAAACACTGTCTGGTCCTGCGCCGTCCTCACAATCATTGCTATGTTTAAGCCCACTGTTGCAGCCACTGTGTCAATCCATCTCGTTGAAGGCCTTCTTCTTTTTCACTGACCCTCTACTTTACCAAGCACGCTATCCTTCTCCAGGGACTGGTCCCTGCTAATAACATGTCTAAAGTACATGAGACAAAGTCTCACTATCCTTGCCTCTGAGGAGAATTCTGGCTGTTCTTCTTCCAAGATAGGTGTTTGTTCTTCCGGCAGTCCATGGTATATTCAATATTCTTTGCCTATTCTTTGCCAACACCATAATTCAAAGGCATCAATTCTTCTTCCACCTTCCTTATTCATTGTCCAGCTTTCGCATGCATATGAGGAA